AAGTCGCGTGCATAATACATGTGTACATATTCGCCTCTATACTTTCCTAGTACGTAATATAGAATTATATGGAGACTCCAATCCGTCTAGACGGTTTATTGCTTGCGATGTTATTCGCGTGCGTTGGCAACCACCCAGCGGTGCCTTCTTTCCAACTTGTGTTCTACGGATTTCGAAGATGGCCGCTCAATTGTACCAAATTTGTTTCAGTAAATATAATATGTAAATAGAACACAATTATATTGTTGTTTTAAAACTGTGATCGCCTAAAGAAACAGGATAGGACAGGAATGTTCGATGATTTTTTTTATGGGATAAGCCGAGCAACGAGCAGACGGATCAGCTGATGGTAAGCAATCGGCGCCGCCCATGGACACCTGGAACACCAGAGGCGTTACAAGTGCGTTACCGGCCTTTTAGGGATTAGGAGATTCGAGGATTGTTGGGGATTCTGGGATGGGGGGGAGGGTAATTGTGCCTCCAGTAACCTCATTCACACAACGCAAGCGTTGTTGCATGTCGGTTTTTTGTGAGGCCGTGGTATCATTACGGTCGAGCCGGCCCATTCGTGCCGAAGCATGGCTCTCCCACACTTTATAAACAAAATATTTAAAAAAATACATTGTTTATACATTAATTATTGAACAGTTCGAAAATCTTAATAGGTTTCGGAAAGCCAGTTAAACTGTCAAACACCGCGAGAACACCGGTGACCGCAACCTATTGTTCTTTGAGAACCTAACGGGTAACCGGGGCTCCGGCTCGACGTGCAGGAGAAGGAGAGGTGGTTTTTAGTCAGTAAGAGTCTGACACTCCCTCCCGCCTCACCCAGGCGGGAGCAGACAAACGATGATTTCCCCCCTTAAAAAAAAATTGTTCTTTAATTGTGTCTATAATGACGGTACTCAAAGAGTTAATTTACCTATTCAAACCATATTCCCTGACAGTCCATTCAAAACTTTTGTTTCGAAAAAATGCATGGTAAAAAAGACTACAAAAAATGTGTTGGCAAACATGCCCAAAAATTGCGCTAGAATATGCGTGACCGGCTCGCGTGGAAAGTATTGAAACTACGTAGCACCTATGCTACGAACATTTTGCTACAATTCTCGTAACCGAGGTTTTGTGTAGCTGTAGTTGAGAATCGTAACCGAATGTATCGGTTATTCGATACAAACGTTTTTCGTAACCGGATCCGGTATTATAGTTTTAATATAATAAAAGTTGGCTGCACGGTTGGTTGGTGCGGTGTCTGGCTGGACTACTGGCTGCCGCGCAACATGTCACAGATTCGATTCCCGCACGTAGCAACTCGTTGTGTGATCCACAGATTGTTGTTTTTTTAAAAGTCGATTAGGGACTGAATATTAATGAGACACATTATGACAGAATTTGGATTTTGTCGATCGTTTTTTGAAATCTCAATAGGCTTACATGGGACTCATAACATACATTTTGAAAAGTGGGTGTTGCTTTGTTTAGTGGCATTAGGTGCTGTAATGTGCACCTCTACCTACCCCTTCAGGGTTTAAAGGCGTGATGTTATGTATTTCGAAATGGGCAGATAATCAATATACCTCATTCGTAACTATATTCAATACCTCGATTGAATGAGAATGGTTGCACAGGAAAAACTAAAGATTGTGCTTTGTAGTGTGCTATAGGAGAGGTCAGTATTCAGTAATAGTGGATAGTGGAAACAAGCTGATTGTTATATGGAACTTGTAGACACGGCCACACATCAATCTATACAAAACCAGTTTATCCTGGCATCGCATCGCATCATCGTTCCGCACATTTAACGTTCAGTTTATACTGGCT